TACCACCTTCCTGCCCACCTGTTCTAAAATCTGACCCTCTCTTCTCTAGCCCATGGGCCTGGTTTATGTTTCTTCATTTCGCTTGTACACTCTCTCCCATGCTGCAATCTGTAAGTTCCACAAAGGCAGGGCCTGGAATGGTTCTGCCTTCCATAGTTCCCACAATTGTGTTGGCAAAATTAAAAACAAAAAACAACCCAAACCCATTGCTGTCAAGTTGATTCTGACTCATAGCGACCCCATGTGCTACAGAGTAGGACTACTCCATAGGGTTTTCTTGGCTGTAATCTTTACAAAAGCAGATCTCCAGGCCTTTCTTCCATGGGCTGCTGGATGCGTTCCAACCACCAACCTTTAGGTGAGCAGCCAATTGCAAACCACTTGTACCACCCAAGGAGCTCACCCCCTTTTTGGGGGCAAAATTACAGGTGCTCAAAAACTTAGTGAATGGGTGAGCTATGCCATGAAGTTGAGGGTGAGTGCTAAGGCACACTTGCCAGCATCTCACGTGGCCTCTGCAGCTGATAAACAGCTCCGGTGCTGAAAACCTCACTCCTTCCTCGTTAGGGTGTGCATCTAGATTGGAGCCGGATTGGCGAGCGGGTGGAGCGGGAGCTGTGTTCCTGCAGCTTCTGCTCTCCTTCACGGATTCCTTGGTCCTCCGGGCATAACCGGAGCAATCGCGAGAAGACTTCGCCCGTTAAATAAGGACACGTACTGCACGCAGTGACTGGGAGGATTAACAGTGAGCTGTGATGGTGCATCAGAGGTGTGAAGGGCCTGGCGCAAGGCCCGGTGCTAGTCCACAGAGTGTTCCATTGTGGTGTAGTTGCTTGCCTGGTGAGTAGTAAGCTTAGAACCAGGGGCTTCAAACTGGTTCTTTCAGGTTTGAAACGCTGCTAAGACTTTGCATTTCTAACAAGTTCCCAGGCGATGCTAATGATGCTGGTTAGAGACCAGTTCTGAGAACCACTAGTTCAGCAGTGGTTCTCAAAATTTATCATACCTAAGAATCACCCGGGGATCTTGTTAGGATGTAGATTCTGATTCAGTATACCTGGATGCATTCAGTATACCTGGATACTTTGAACCGGTTCGAAGCCCTGCTTAGAATAAGTTCTCACCCACAACAGCGACTCCTGGGGCTCTGCCTCCTCGAGCACCTTGAGCCTCAGGCTCATCATCAGTTTGTGCTGCTGTGGCACAGCGCCACCCTCTAGGCAGAAACAGATTCCAGCCTGATGCAGGGGTCTCTTTCCATGCCCTCCTGAATGTTTTTATGGCAAATACAAGTTTGTATTTTTTTAAAGGGAGCTTTGCCTTTGTTTTTTGTTGCTAGGGCAAAAAATACAGTTTCAGCTATCAACAACAAGATCTTAATCGTCAGACAGGAAGTGTTTTGAATATAAGCCAGAGAGTAACTGGAGCGGGAAGAACGGTAAAACCACGCAAAATGCCAGTTTTGTCGGTTTGTTTGCTTTTACCAAGGCTCCCTGAGAAATACTGGGATCGTGATACAAGCAAATTCAGTACTTGTCGGAAGCCCAGTATCTTTATGTTGTCGACTAAGTGCTGACTTCTCATGCCCCTAATCTCAGCCTTTTGAGGTGTTAGTTGAAGCAGAAAGCATGGCTGTCTTGTCTCCGCCCCGGCTCTGTACCCTAGAGCAAGACCTCCTAACTCATCTAGGCAGCAGGCATTCAAGGCTCTGATTATGTGCCACCAGCTGGGACTGAAACTGGAATAAGGCATAACCACCCCCAACAACAACACAAATTGCCAATCAGTCAATTCTGACTCATTGCGACCCTATAGGACAGAGTAGAACCGCCCCATAGGGTTTCCAAGGCTGTAATCTTTACAGACATCAGAGCCACTGGTGGGTTTGATCCGCCGACCTTTCAGTTAGCAGCCGAGTGCTTAACCATTGCACCACCAGGGCTCCAGAGTAAGGCATAAAACCAACAAAACCAAACCTGTTGCCATCAAGTCAATTCCAATTCTTAGCGACCCGACAGGACAGAGCAAACTGCCCCATAGGGTTTCCAAGGAGCAGCTGGTGGGTTGGAACTGCCAACCTTTCCAGTTAGCAGCCATAGCTCCTACCCACTGCACCACCAGGGCTCCTGGAGTAAGGCATGGTGCCAGCTAAAGCCTTGCAACTCCAAGTGTGGTCCCTGGACGGTCAGCATGTAAGGAAACTGTAAGGAAATCAGAGTTTCAGGCCCCATCCCAGAGCCACTGAATGAGTCAGAATCTGCATTAGAAAAAGATCCTCAAGTGATATGCCTGCGCGCTAAAGTTGGTCTCAGAAAGATAAAGTGATTCCAGTACAAAATAGCAAGGAAAGCACGGGCTCATCTGTACTATCCCTCCCACTGCTAACAAGCATGTGTTACTTTGTTAATTCTACAATGGCTCGCTGTCATCAATGCTTACTGTACTGAATGTTCTACTTTTGAGTTGTCTGCCAATGGAAGGTTTCATAGATGAGATTTAGTTCAGTTAAGGAGGGCTGTGATGCTTCAGCGGTAGAATTCTCGCCTTCCAGGCAGGAGCCCTAGGTTCAATTCCCGGCCAACGCACCTCAAACACAGCCACTATTTGTCTGTCGGTGGAGGCTTGAGTATTGCTATGACGCTGAACAGGTTTCAGCAAAGCTTCCAGACTAGGAAAAGCAAAGATGTCACTTGGAGGACTTGTGCGCCTGACGCCCCCTTTCCTCCCCCCCCAAAAAAACCAAACCCATTGTCGTTGAGTGGATTTTGACTCATAGTGACCCTATAGGACAGAGTAGAACTGCCCCATAAGGTTTCCAAGGAGCACCTGGTGGATTCAAACTGCTGACCTTTTGGTTAGCAGCCATAGTTCTTAACCACTACACCACCAGGGTTTCCGCCTGACCCAAGCCATGGTATACTCAATTGCCTCCTATGCATGTGAAAGCTGGACAATGAATAAGGAAGACCGAAGAAGAATTGATGCCTTTGAATCACGGTGTTGGTGAAGAATACTGAATGGACTTCAGAAGAATGAAAAAAATCTGTCTAGGAAGATGTACAGCCAGAATGCTCCTTAGAAGTGAGGATGGGGAGACTTTGTCTCATGTACTTTTGGCACGTCATCAGGACGGACCAGTCCCTAGAGAAGGACGTTATGCTTGGTAAAGTAGAGGGTCAGCAAAAGACAGGAAGACCCTCCACGAGATGGACTGACACAGTAGCTGCAACAATGGGCTCAAGCACAGCAATGATTGTGAGGATGGCGCAGGCCGGGGCAGTGTTTTGTTCTGTTGTATATGGGGTCGCTATGAGTCAGAACCGACTCAATGGCACCTAACAACACACAACAGCCAGACTACAAAGAAAGGCACGGCACCCTACTTCTGAGGGTCTGAAAACCCTCTGGGTCACAACGGTCTGTGCATGTGGTCACCATGAGTGAAAGCAGCTAACAACAAGAAACTCAAACCAAAAACCCAAACCCACTGCCGTCTAGCCCACTGCCGTCTCGTTGATTCCGACGCATAGCGACCATATAGGACTGAGTGGAACCGCCCCACAGGGCTTCCAAAGCATAGCTGGTGAATTTGAATGGCCAGCCTTTTGGTTAGCAGCTGAGCTTTTAACCACTGCACCACCAGGGCTCCAACAACAAAACCCATTGCCGACGAGTCGATTCCGACTCCTAACAACCCTATAAATCAACCACTTGGCATTAAAGGCCGCTCTGCTGGAGATTTAGTCCAGCCCATGGAGCACACAGCTGCCTCCCTGTGATTCTAAGCACCGCCGGACACTGGGAAGAGATTTCTGTTTCCAAGTGGAAACTGGTGCTTCTAGTTTTTCAACAAGACTTGGCTTTGTACAGAAAATAGCCTGAATCTAAAAACAAAGCAATCAGGGATTTAAGTGGGGCCTGTTGGCTTCTTTCTGTAGTCTTAAGCTAAGAGGTGCAAAGATCGGAGTGCTAGATTTCACAAACAGTGCCCGCAGCCAGCCAAAGAATCCTGAGTAATGAATGTTTAAACTCCTCAAGATGGTGCTGGAGACAACAAAGCTTTTGTGGGTATGTGGAAACTGTTGTTTTCAACTTTTATTCATAAATAGAAAATATATACATATGTACTTTAACATGATCCATAGGTTTGTAGACCGTTCGTACCTTCTATTTTGTAACAAATATTAAATGTATTCTCCGCTATGTCAAAGGTGAGGTATCCAAGGAATAGAGTACATTAAAAAGTGAGTCCCTTCATTCTTCTTGCTTCTAGAAGAGAAACTCTTGAGTAAACTCAACTTTCACACCACAAGTTAGTGATAAAAAAGAGACAGCCGATTTAAGCAGGCAGAAATGTAGATATGAATTAATCAAGTTATTTCATTCCATAAAAACCGCTAAAGCTGCTGGTATTTGCATGGCTCCACAGTGATTTTAAGCGCCTCATTCAAACATAGCTAGAAATAAACTGGCCTCTTAAGAGTTTGCATAAAAATGAAATACAGCAGAAAAAAATTATTAATACTTAAATTCTATTGATGCAAAATTCGCTCATATTCAGAATATTGCTTCAAGTTGTTAAAATGTTTTTGAGACTATTTGCTGATTTCAACTCTGTTGTTGTGCCTGCCCAACACGAGGCAAATACCACCCTTTCTATACACTGTTTGTAAGAAAAGAAGGAAGGACAGAAGGCAGGTGGGCAGGAAGGCCCTGTCGCTCCATACACAGGCCGTCATCCCTCTGGAGAAAAAACTAAATCCTGTGAAAAGAAAACCAAACCCAAGCAGACTAACAGTCCAAGGAGTCTAGTTTAAACACAGGAAGGGAAGCTCGCCCTCCAGACCAGTTACAGGAAAGAGGCCGGGTTCGACTCCCGGCCAAGCGCTCGTCAGCGGCAAGGCAGCAGCTCAGGCTTGGGCTGTGGGGGGCGAGTCCTTTGTCACCCTCAGCCCGGGACTGAGCCCAGGGGCTGGGTAGAGCAGACTGCGGTGCGCCGTTTACAGGTCGGAGTCGCAGGGCAGCGAGCTGTGGTAGGGCCTGGTGGTGTGCGAGGAGGCGCCGTGGGACTCGGCGGCCGCCTCCCCGCCGAGCACGTCCACCGGGTTGGTGTAGGCCTTGGGCGGCGGCCGCGGCATGCGGAAGCCGACCTCGCGCTTGCTGGCGGCGCCCCGAGGCCGGTTCTGGCCGTCAGGGTAATACTTGATGGCGGGCGTGAGGGCCGGCTCGGGCCAGTCGACGGACACGGTGCTGATGCTGCTGCGGCGCGGGTAGGCGCCGGACGCCTTGCGGCGGCGACGGCAGCGCTCCTCGCACCAGGGCGCGAAGCTGAGCCCCAGCGAGAAGCCGCCCAGCAGCAGCAGGCAGCTGCCCAGGTAGCCCAGCACCAGGCTGTAGCTGACGTGCACCGTGACCGGGCTGGCCGGCGCGGGCAGCACGTCGCGGTCCCGCAAGAAGTGGCTGTACCAGGAGACGGGGATGAGGCTGCAGAGGCCCGCGGCGAAGAGCACGAGGCCCGAGAGGCCGGCCAGCACGAAGTGGGGCTTGTCCCGCCAGCAGCGCACTCCGAGCGACGCCAGCAGCAGCCCCAGGGCCGTGGTGGCCAGCGATGTGACCATGAGGCCCCGCGCCACGAGCACGGGCTCGGCCGTGAAGTAGTTCCACTCGTCCGGCTGGCCGCACTCACGCTCGCGGCTGCTCTGCTCGCGGCACATGTCCCACAGGCCCTGGTATAGCACCACGTCCACCGGCTGGTCCAGGAAACCCTTCACCAGCCGCCAGCCGGGCGCCAGCGTGCTGACCAGGTTGAGCAGCAGGGCGCAGGGCGCCAGCACCATGCCCACCGTCATCACCACCGGCGTCCGCATCCCGCCCGACGGCGCAGCGGCTGCGTTCTCCGCGGCCGCGGCCTCAGAGCTCGGTCCGCGCGCTCCTGCGCGCACGGAGAGCGCGGGTCCCCGAAGTCAGCACGGGCGCCGCAGCCCGCGGGTCCTGCGCCCTGCTCGCTCCCAGCCGCTCTTTGTTTCCCGCGCGGCGGCCGGGTCTCCACTCTAGGGTTCGCCCCTTGTTCCCTCCTGGCGTCCCGGCCGCTCCGCCCTGCTGCCGTCTCTAATCGAAACCAGCTCGTGGACGGGTCAAACCGAAACCGCAGGCCGGACCGAAACCGCGGGGCGAGGTGCGTGCGCCCGGAGGCGGCTGCCGCGGCCAAACCCGCCCCGGCTGGGAGGGGCCGGAGGTGAGAGGAGGAAGCGGCGGCCCTCGCGCGCCGCCATCTACGGGTCCGGCCTCCGCGCGCCAGCACCCCACCCCGCCCGGCCGGGGCAGCTCCCGGACAGAGCAAAGGTCGCGACGCCCTGGCTCCTCCGCAACTCCGCAACTCCGCGCCTCCGGGGGGTCGGGCCGGCCGGGCGGGGAAGGAAAGGGGCGGCACGCGCGCACGGCCGCAAGTGCCTCGGACGCTGCCCAGCTCCCTGCTTCTCGGCCAATCACCGCCCCGAAAGTGTTTCTCCTGGCCTGTCCGTTGGCCCGGCGGACTTCATCTCTCCTTGCTGCACTCCCGCAGCGACTCAGCGGGGATCCGATAGCCCCTAAACGGTTTGCGTGGCTGACTTGCAGCAACTCTCGGCGGTGTGGGCGATGCCGAGCGCTCCCCGCACTGCCTGGGATCCGCTGGGCAGGTGTGCTCGGTGCTTCAGCCGGATGGCTGGAAGGTCCACGCGGTAGAGAACCAAGTCCCAAAATGTTGCACTTGTTTAATTTAATAAAACCTTGCTTTTTTGCTTAACAAAGGCTCCCTTGTTTAATTTCCTTATACACCGGATTATGTGTGACTCAAAAGAATCAAAGCGAGTGTATTTTCTTGGGTAGGGGGGTTATAGAGAATTTGACTTTCTTTTTGTCTTGTGAAAGACTTTGAAGTGGACAGAAAACGAGGGGAGGAGGTTTACTGGGTGGCCAGTCTAGCACACCTATCTAATCAATAAGGTCCTTTGGCCATTCATTGTCCTTGAGCTATTTTATAACTGCGTGAACTGTAGAAAACAATGTTGCAAACTATTTTTGCAAATGAATTTGTCCCAGTGGAATGTAATGGATTTTTGCCCAATAAATACAGACCAGTTTGGTAACCCTTTTAAAATTCATGTTAGTGTGGCCATTAGCATCTAGGGAGCCCTGATGCTGCAGTGGTTATGAGCTCGACTGGAACCAAAAGGTCGGTAGTTCAAATCTACCAGGCTCTCCTTGGAAACCCGATGGGGCAGTTCTGCTCTGTCCTATAGGGTCGTTATGAGTCGGAATCAACTCGACGGCAACGGGTTTGGTTTTTTGGTTTTGGTTTGCCTCTGTATGTTCTTTGAATTCTGCATTGAATCAGTGGCAACATCTTCCTTCATTAAACAATGAATTAAAATAGATCCTTCACACCTTTTCATTGTATACTTGTGTGAGAGTCATGGTTTTCCATTCTAACAATTATCCTTTAAACATTCTTTTCTGCATTTTTCTTACTTCTTACAATGGAAGTGTATTACTTTTATAATCGGTTAAATTAAAAATCATATTTTTAAAAATCAAATTCATTCAGTGTTGGTTTGAAATAATTCTAAGCATTCTAGAGTGGACAATACCAGGGATGGGAATCACTACTTTTATTTTAAATGGATCTTAGTAGAACCCCATTTCTTTTTTTCAAAATGATTTTCAAATGTTTTTAATTGAAGAAAAGAAAAAGTTGTAATGGTTATGATGTATTGTCTGTACATTACTTCAAGACACAGGAGCATGGGCAAAACCAAAACCAAACCTGTTCTGTCAAGTTGATTCCGACTCATAGCGACCCTATAGGACAGAGTAGAGCCGCCCCATAGGGTTTCCGAGGAGCAGCTGGTAGGGAATTCGAACTGCCACCCTTTTGGTTAGCAACCGAGCTCTTAACCACTGTGCCACCAGGGCTCCTCAGCATGGGCAGTATGATATAAATGAATGTGTTAGTTTTCATCTACACCTTAGCAGGGAGTAGGTTGCCCAGATCAGCTGCAGCCTCTCTGAGAATGATTGGATGACATTTAATCAAAGAATCGGATTTCTTGGGTGGAGGAAAGGGTTAAGCACTTGACTGCTCACCAAAGGTTGAAGGTGTGAACCATCCAGAGGTAGCTTGGAAGACAGACCTGGCGATCTGCTTCTGAAAGGTCACAGCCTTGAAGACCCTGTGGAGCACAGTTCTACTCTGCACTCATGGGGCCGCCAGGAGTCGGAATCCACTCTGGACGGCAGCCAACAACAACAAGGAAGAACTCTAATCGAAAGGCCATGATCCAGAGGCAGCTTCTAGAGGATTCAGCCATTTTTGTCTCCAGTCATTACCAGACTTTGATAATTAGCACAACTCCTCTTATTAAAGGTCTTTCAGGGGGCCCTGGTGGTACAATAGTTAAGTGCCTGGCTGCTAACTGAAAGGTTGGTGGTTTCACCAGAAGCTCTGCAGGAGAAGAGATCTGGTGATCTGCTCCCTGGAAAACCCTAGGCGATTTACAGCCTAGGAAACCCTGTGGGGCAGCTCTACTCTGTCATACAGGGTCACTATCAGTCAGAATCAACTCGAAGGCACACAACAACAATGCCCTTTCACTGGTGAAGTCATTGCTGTCCAAGATCAGTGTGTTAGAATCCAGATAGCCCAGTAACTATACCTGTAAAAATGCTTCCCACGGTTTGACTTATAAGTTGTCCTGTGTTTAGAAGCTGCTCAGAGGATTCCTTCTCTCTGGACCCCAACCAGAAGGTGAGCTAATCCTGCGGCAAGAACATCACCTCCAGTGAGCAATCCTGGCAAGTGCTGTCAGAGCACCTAAAAGGACAGAGACCTGGGACTTCATCAAACCTACAGGATGAATGACTGTTTTTGTGCCCGCTTGCTAACAAAAGTATAAATAGGTGATAAAATTTGGTCTAAGACTTTCTCTTAAAACTACTGATATATACGAATAAGGAAGACTGAAGAAGAATTGATGCCTTTGAATTATGGTGTGGGTGAAGAATATTGAATATACCATAGGCTGACAGAAGAATGAACTAATCTGTCTCGGAAGAAGAACAACCAGAGTGCTCCTTGGAATCAAGGATGGCAAGATTTCCTTTCACATACTTTCAACATGTTATTAGGAAGGACAGATCCCTAGAGAAGGACATTGTGCTTGGTAAGGTTGAGGGTCAGAGAAAAAGAGGAAGGCAGCCCTCAGCCCAGTAATTTGGTCCCTCAGGGAGTTTGGATGTGTCTATAGAACTTCCACGACCTTGCCTTCAAGAAGTTGTGCTGGCTTCCCCAGTATTGTGTACTGTCTTACCCTGGGGGAGTAAGACAGGGCTGTGGGGACCATGGACTCAGGGAACATCGAGCTCAATTGGCATAACATAGTTTATAAAGAAAATGTTTTATATTCTACTTTGGCGAGTAGTGTCTCGGTTCTTAAAAGCTTGTGAGCGGCCATCTAAGATACTTCACCGGTCTCACCCTGTCTGGAGCAAGGGAGAATGAAGAAAACCAAAGACACAAGGGAAAGATTAGTCCAAAGGACTAATGGACCACAATGACCACAGCCTCCACTAGACTGAGTCCAGCACTACTAGACTGTGCCCGGCTACCACCACCGACTGCTCCGACAGGGATCACAATAGAGGGGCCCCGGACAGAGCTGGAGAAAAATGTAGAACAAAATTCTAACTCAAAAAAAAAAAAAAGATCAGATTTACTGGTCTGACAGAGACTGGCGAAACCCCAAGAGTATGGCCCCCAGACACCCTTTTAGCTCAGTAATGAAGTCACTCCTGAGGTTCATCTTTCAGCCAAAGATTAGATAGACCCATTAAAAAAAGAGAGAGAGAGAAAGAGGAAGACCCTCAATGAGATGGACTGACACGGTGGCTGCAACAATGGGCTCAAAAATCGCAACGATTGTGAGGATGATACAGGATGGGGCAGTGTTTCATTCTGTTGTACATAGGGTCGCTATGAGTCAGAACCCACTTGATGGCATCTAACAACAACACACACACACACACCTCTAGATAGATAGATGATAGATAGATAGATAGATGATAGATAGATAGATAGATAGACAGACAGATAGAACAAACCTGTCTTGGAAGAAGTACAACGAGAATGCTCCTTAGAAGGAAGGATGGTGAGACTGTGTCTTACATACTTTGGACATATTGTCAGAAGGGATCAGTCCCTGGAGAAGGACATCATGCTTGGTAGAGGGTCAGCGGAAAAGAGGAAGACACTTAACTAGACTGTGAGCATGGCACAGGACCGGGCAGGGTTTTGTTCTGTGGTACATGGGGTTGCTATGAGTCGGAACCAACTCGACGGCACCTAACAACAACAACAACAACATATATATATATATAATTTTTAAAACTGAGATACGATTGACATACCATACACTGCATATTTTAATGTATGATATATTTTGACATATGTATATATGTATCTGTGAAATCATCACCACAATCAAGATAATGAACATATCCATCACCCTCAAAAGTTTCCTAGTGTCCACTGGTAATACCCCTCCCAGCCCTCCCTACCACCCCTATCCCCAGGCAACCACTAATCTGTTTTTTGTCAGTATAGATTAGTTTGCACTTTCTAGAATTTTGTATAAATGGAGCCATACAATATAGATAGCATATATGAGAAGGTAAGAGATTCCCCACTTAAGGTGCTTGTGGAGCCCTGGTGGTGCAGTGGTTAAGAGCTCGGCTGCTAACCAAAAGTTGACAGTTTGAATCCATTAGCGCTCCTTGGAAACCCTCTGGGGCAGTTCTACTCTGTCCTATAAGGTTACTATGAGTCAGAATC